ACCCTGGGGAGCACTGGTTTTATTTGTGAAGAAGAAGGATAGTTCGCTCCGCTTGTGTATAGATTACAGGGAGTTGAACAAGATTACTATTCGTAACAAGTATCCTTTGCCCAGGATTGATGACTTGTTTGATCAGTTGAAGGAAGCTACTTATTTCTCTAAAATTGATCAGCGGTCTGGATATCATCAACTTCGGGTTCGGGAGCAGGATGTTCCGAGGACAGCGTTTCTCACTAGATATGGATCTTATGAGTTTCGGGTGATGCCGTTCGGGTTGACTAATGCACCAGCGGTTTTCATGGATTTAATGAACAGAGTCTTCAGGGCTTACTTGGATCAATTTGTCATTGTCTTCATTGATGACATTTTGATTTACTCGAGGTCAGAGGACGATCATGCTAGATATCTTCGAATAGTCTTACAGACGCTTTGTGAGCACTAGTTGTATGCCAAGTTTGAGAAATGTGAATTTTGGCAGCGGGAAGTGAAATTTCTGGGTCACGTGGTGTCAGAAAAGGGAATAGCGGTGGATCCAGCCAAGGTTTCAGCGGTGGTTGAGTGGGGACAGCCTACATCACCTACCGAGATTCGGAGTTTTCTCGGTTTAGCAGGATATTACAGGAGGTTCATCCAGGGATTTTCAAAAATAACGGGACCACTCACTCATTTAACTAAAAAGGGTGTACGGTTCGTGTGGGATGAACATTGTCAGAAAGCTTTTGATGAGCTGAAGACTAAGTTAACTTCTGCATCAGTTTTGTCTACCCCACAGAGCGGGATAGAGTATCTTGTGTACACAGATACTTCGTTGCAGGGTCTTGGATGTATTTTGATGCAGGAGGAGCGACCGATTTCGTATGGATCTCGGAAGCTTAAGCCTCACGAGCTTAATTATCCAACACATGATTTGGAGTTGGCAGCTGTGGTTTTTGCCTTACGTATTTGGAGGCATTATCTGTTGCGTGAGTTCTTCAAATTATTCAGCGATCACAAGAGTCTGCAGTATTTGTTCACTCAGCGGGAGCTGAATATGAGACAGCGCAGGTGGTTGGAGTTTGTGAAAGACTATCATTTTTCTATACAGTATCATCCAGGGAAAGCGAATATGGTGGCGGATGCACTCAGTCGTCGACCTGTTGGTAGTCTTTCCGCTCTATTCACTATTGAGTGGAATGCGTTGAAGAGGGTGGATGAATTATCGGATGCTTTCCTGGCTTGCATGGTAGTTACACCTTCTATCATTCACAAAGTTTTGAAGGCACAACTCATGGATCGGTAGTGCATTGATAAAGTTGCAGAGATAGCTTCCGGAGAGGTTCCATTCTACTATATTGGGGCTAATGGAGGTTGAGGTACAAGGGATGGTTAGTGGTACCTTCTGCTGATGAGTTGAGGAAGGATGTGCTGACTGAGACTCACCACTCTGAGTTTTCGGTTCATCCAGGAGGTGACAAAATGTATCAGGATATGAAGCGGCAGTTTTGGTAGGCAGGTATGAAGAGGGACATTGCTCTATTTGTCTCACGATGTAGTACTTTTCAGATGGTCAAGATTGATCATCGGAGGCCGCCAGGAGCTCTACAACCACTGCCAATACCGGAGTGAAAATGGGAGAGCATTTCTATGGATTTTGTGGAGGGATTACCTAATTCGTTCAAGAATCACAATTCCATTTGGGTCATCGTTGATAGGTTGACCAGATCAGCTCATTTCTTACCTATTCGCACTGATTACACTTCGGAACAGTTAGCGAGACTTTACATTACAGAGATTGTGAAATTGCATGGCATTCCGTTATCTATTATATCGGATAGAGATTCGAGCTTTGTATCAGGGTTTTGGAAGAGTTTTCAGCAGTCTTTGGGTACAGAGTTGCATCTTAGCACTGCTTATCATCCTCAGATTGATGGACAGACCGAGAGGGTTAATTAGATAATGGAGGATATGCTTCGTTCTTGTGTCCTTGACTTTAAGGGCCATTGGGAGGAGTATTTGGCACTTGTGGAGTTCGCATATAACAATAGTTTTCAGAAGACTATTGGTATGGCACCGTTTGAGGCATTATATGGACGACCATGTAGATCTCTTGTTTATTGGATGGTGGTTGGCGAGAGCCGATTTTTGGGTCCTGAGTTTATTAAGGATACTTCTGAGAAGATTCCTCTTATTAGGGATCGCATGCGCATTGCCCAGAGTAGGCAGAAGAGTTATGCGGATCGTCGTACTCGTGTTTTGGAGTTTCAGGTTGGGGATCAGGTTCTACTCAAAGTGTCTCCTATAAAAGGTGTAATGCGCTTTGGGAAGAAAGGGAAGTTATCACCACGGTTTGTGGGTCCATTTATGATTACCGAGCGCACTAGAGCTGTAGCTTATCGGTTGGCACTTCCAGATCATTTGGATCGAGTGCACAATGTGTTTCATGTTTCCATGTTGCGAAAATTTCTGCGAGATGAAGATCGGTATCAGCATATCGATGTGGGAGAGATTGAATTGCAGCCGGATGCAACATATGTGGAGCCACCGTGTCGCATTATTGACCGTAAGGATCATATTCTTCGCAATAAAGTCATATCGTTAGTACGTGTCCAGTGGAATCACCATAATGAGGCTGAGTCTACTTGGGAACAAGAGGATGTTATTCGCTCACAGTTTCCAAATATAGTGGAAGAAGGTAAGGGCGAATTCCGAGGACGGAATTCCTTTTATTAAGGGGGAAGAATGTAATACCCCTAATTTAAAAAGGATAGTCTCAGTATTATTTTAATAGGTTTAATTGCATTTAATTATTTAGTTGTTTTCTTGGCTAATTGTTTACTTGTTTAATTGATTTAATTATTTATTTAAATTGAATTGAATGTGATTTAATTGTTTTATTTTTATTTTTATTTTATTTATTTTATTTTTAAGGAATTGGATATGGATAGTAGTAATTGACCAATCAATTGGACTCCATGGACTACTTGGATAAGGGGTTTAATGGGTACGGATGATTACCCATGTATATGTATATTTAATAAATAAATAAATATATATGTATATGTAAGAAAAGTCCCTTTAATAATAATCTGATATATATTTATATGTTATATATAAAAAGGGGTATACATAGATTATACGTAACATATATTTAGTTACCTTTTTAGTATTTAAATTTTATTTTATTTTATTTTTATTTCATTTTAGTTTGTCTTGGAATGGGAAAAGGATTAGGGTTATTTTAGTTGCCTATAAATATATAACTATAGAGTTGTGAAAGAGGTTAGAAAATATAGCACGTACTATATTTTAGAGAGAGAAAGAAGGAAGAGGAAGGAAGAGAAAAAGGAAGAAGGAGGTTAGGGTTTTTATCAAATCCCTAAAGGTAAGTTCTAATTCTTCTCTTCTCTTTTCATTCATACTCTATGCATGCTAGATTAATTCTAGGTTTTTTTTTTTAATAAATTAATTGGAATCTAATTATATGAATTGATTTAGGAATTTCAGTTCATATTTCAATAATGAATTTTAATTATTTGTTTTCTTCTGCCTACGCTGTTGGTGGCCTTGATTTTAACTTAATTTATGTTATTTATGTTAGCATGAATCAATCAGTTTATGCATATGTGGGTAAAGTCATAAGGCATTCTTTATAAATCTGTGCGCGCCGAACGAGGAAACTATTGATAATTGATTTAATAAAGAAAATCCAGAATGTGATTTAAATAGTAATGAGATTTTGTTTTCTTTCCATGCACGCCGAACGAGGAAGAATAGCTTTAGGAATCTTCAATTTGTTACATTGAGTTTGCAATTGAAATTCAATTCCTACGTAAGCCATAATGAAAAGTCAACTTAAAGTAATTTGTTATTGTTTCAAATTATTAGGAAGGAATTTGGTATGTAAAAAAAATGTTAATTATGCCCTAAATATTTTAAAAGTTAGACTAATTAATATTGTGATATTAAACTGATATTATTATTTTTGATTGATGGATTAGTATTAAATATTTATTTAATAAATTCATTAAGAATTGGAATGCATGATTTAAGTTTACATGCTAAGTATGGAATTTAATTAATTATAAATGAGATAAATTAATTAAATATTCTTGGATTAAATTATTTTAATCAATTGTTAGATTTAAATTAATTTAATTAGAATATGGAGATGTACAATTTAGTTGAGATGCATGTTAGTTTCTTGCGATGTAAATTAAATGCATGCTATTTGGAATTTATATTTTTGTTCAAGTAAATGCAAAGGATGTGTATATGATTTATATCATATTTATTTGGATTGTTATATGTAAACATTATTGACATTATTCTTGGATTTGAAACTTTTCTTTGGTTATGATGTGGATTAATGCACCATTATGGGATGGGGGCATATTAGGGACGGATTACCTTAAAAGTTAAGTCCTACCTATTTTTAATAATGGAACGGATTAACCATAGTATTAAGTCCTACTTATTCGTGTCAGGTCAATGGAATAGTTGGATGACATATTATTAAAATAATAATTGGATAGTTTATTTTTGATGGTTGGATAGGACGGATTTTAAATATATAATTATACACCATGATATGAGCTTGAGTCTCAGGATTAGTGGTTAGGGTGCGTATATCGCCAGGGATGTGTAGCTAGATATAGCGTAGTTATGTAACCTGGTAGGTCTAGGTACTCATGCCCACTATATGTGCGTTTTGCATGTTGCCTACTATTCAGGTTGGGACAACTCTATAGTCTAGTGAGGTTCCTTTAGTGTGTATATATCTACATATGGACTATTTAGTTATTGTTGAATTAATTAGGATGTGTACGTGTATCGGGTCTCTGTTTGGGATGTAGTAGATTAGAACTTGTTTGTGAACCTGACCCACCATTATTTTTCAGGTGTTCGTCAGTTCCAGTCTTAGAAATTGTTCGTGCCGAGCAGAGACAGTCATTCACTCTTCCGACTCTACGTAGGACTCGTCTTCATTAGTTACTTATTATTTTTATTTCGGTTTAGTTAGGATATTATTAGGGGTCCACAGGATGGATTCCCGAGTTGTAGTTTAATTAGTTACTAGTATCCGAAGATTGGAGGATTTTATTATTGGATTTTTAATTATTATTTATTTGAGGATTTTAAAATAGGGATTTATTATTTAGTTTCCTTCAGCTTATTATTTATTTATTCTTTATTATTCTTTTTGTATTCAAATGCTTGTTTAAATATTAATTGTTTGATATCCTTTGTATTCTGTGCTCGGACTAGATCACCCGTGGCTCTAGAATTAAGGGGTATCACAAAGCATTATATGTGCAGTATCAATATTGCGAACAACGTAATATTGTGATTGACCATGCAAAAACTCAAGCCTGCGTGCAAATCCAATTGCCACCTTGATTCTTTGGAGCCTGGAAAAATTATATGCATCCTAAAAAAAAAAAAATTTGTTGATAAATAACAGAAACCAAGAAACTGCCTTAATTATGCATTCCTGCAACCAATAACAACCACGGCTTGTATTAGTTGCAGCAACTCCAAAGGAAGCAGAAATTTTCTTATTCAAAGAATAAATAGATTTAGAAAGAAATATATCTAATAAGGTGCAAAATTAAACAAATGAACTGCTAATCTGATCAGCTTAAGACCCAGTTTAGATTAATAGGGTGTGGACTGCAAGGCAAAGTTACAGCATAATTAGTAGGTATTGCGATTATAGATGTTATTTTGCAAGCATTCGTTTGCCCCCGCGAAAATGCTCCAAACATAAACTGAAAAGATTGATCTGTATACACAACAAATTGACATAGCTAAGATAAAATCTCATTGTAACAAAAAATTAAAAAAAATCTACCTTTGACAATGAGATGGCGCACCGTATCCAATGGTTTAAGGTCATAAACAGCACCCAAAAGACTATCTCCACTGAAGCATCCCATCAACTTGGCTCTTTTAGAAAAGTACATTCTGCCTAGAAAGATAGAAACACATCAGAGAAAAACGATAAGAACAACATATATAACCTTCAAATTTCAAAATTAAGATTATTGAAACACAAAACCAGAAAAGAAAAAAAGAAAAATATATATATATATATATATAGATATAGATATATTGTTATTACCATATATTGGGTGAGATTTGCATTCTTGCCAACAAAAAAGATTCCTACATCTTCCCAAATCTTCACAATCACATCTTGACCTTGTTGAGTCTTTCCTCCGAACACTGCCAAATTGGGTTTTCCCAATCAGATTCGCTTCACTAAAATTATCGTTTAAATCTTCTAGGAAGAACATTTCCTGAGATTCAATCCTCCGAGCAATGCCATTGCTGGACCTATTTTATTTTGTATGGTAGAATACAATTGATCAGATAAAGTTTCCTTTTCATATGATGAACCATGTGAATCAATATACTCACCAATATGTTCTGCATTTTTTGTATGTAAATTGCATCATTATAAGTAAAATTACACCACAGCAAATTTATTCCTGTATAAAAAACACAGATATGAAGCCAATTCTAACACCAAATGAGGACTTTGAGTGCAACAGTTGTCATAAGATGGTTCAATCAATATAGAACAATCTATAAAATAACTAAAGCTACGTTGGGAGCGAGAGAGAGCAATACCCTGGAACTGAAGTTGAACCACAATACAAATTAGTTATGCCAAATGCATTTTTCATTTTTTGTTTGCCTGAATAGTTATGCCAAATGTTTACTTATATATATATATATATATATATACACACACCAGTTGTAAGGAATGAATATTCTGCCGTAAAACACGGAATTATTCTTTTTTTCGATTACCGGGATGTCCAGGGCTTTGTCCCGACTAATCCATTGACCCGTGTAAGGGTTTACTCCCCACAAAATCTGGAATGTTCGGCCTATCAGCGGGCATAACCTTTAAGGAATTGTTTGCACCTAGGATGAATTGAACATGAAACCTGATGCTTCATGAGACATCAAGCCAAGTGTTTTCCAACTAGGCCAATCCTTAGAGTTAGGATTCCGAAACATTAATGATTAATCAAATCGGGATATGAAGAACGATAGATGATCAGGTATCTATTTTTAAGACTAAACGGAAATGTTGGAACTACGCAAATCTTAAAAATAGAACTTCAAATTGATAGAATATTTTGGATTCCACATAAAAACCTACATATATTAAATGGGAAATCAAATGTTTCTCACCTTTAACTAGGGTTAGGTTTTCTCTCCCCCTCTCTACGCCTTCTCTCTAGGCGAGCTTCGGTTGGATAGCGTCTTTCGAGCCAAAACACACTCGTTTCGTATGTACCAGCTATAAGCAGGGTTGTGATTAGTGGACTGAGTCACCCCCAAGCAGGCTAAAAAATGGTACGAAAGCGCATGATAGCGTGAGGCGCGCACACTAATTTAGCGTGTGTGCAATAACCTCGGGCCAAGCACTCAAATATATATATATATATATATATATATATATATATATATATATATAACTGATCCACTTCAAACTGAGACCGTTGGGCCCATTCCACTTCACTCTAACTTCCGGCTAACCCAGTTAATCTCCTTTTAGATAGGCCCATTAACGAAACCAAAACTTAGATAAAGAAAATAAAAAGTGAACGTACACCATCCTCCTTTTGCTTTTATGAATAAATAACGAAGATAAATTTCAAAAAGAAATAAAAAATATTAGAAAAAAAAATATTATTGATTTCACATATATTTTAAGACAAATTATAAAAATCTGTTTAAAAGCTCGTATACTCCATTTGACAAATAATTTCCTAATTGTAAATGTACAATTTCGTAATTTGATCACAATGAAGCAAAAAATTCTTCTAGTCATTTTCATACCCAGTGCCAAAAAATGAGAAAAACAAAAAAATAAATTCATATACCATAAAATTGACCGCGTGGCATAAATTTTTATAAACGAATAAAATGAAAATACATGTCTTGACACTCCGACCAAAACGCTAGGCTATAAGTATCACAATTTCGTATATGACATTCAACAACTGAAATGTTTAAAGCCCAACACTTTGACCAAAATGGCAAAATGCCTAGGCTATCACACCTCTTTAATATTTGAAGGTAGTCTAGAGTCAAGGGGTAGAATAGAGAGAAGGAAAACCTAATCCTATATTGCCGCCTAATTCACCAGCCATTATTTCATCAGGACTGTGGAAGACAAAGCTGGTATTTACAATTTTTACTTCATTAATCATATATGCTGTATTGTTTGTTATTTACTCTAAACAAGGTCGGAAATATGGAAGTAAAGTACCAAATGTACTCTTTTGGATATGAGTTCCAGAAATATTTTATAGCAAATGAAAAGATGTTCACTTTGTTTGGATGTAAAATATTTTTCAGAAAATATATTTTTATATTTTAGTGATTGGTTGTCATAAAATATTTACGAAAAAAGATATATTTAAACTTAACAAAAATAATTTATTCATTAATTTTCGGTACTCAATGAACTTCATCTCGATACTCTCAGCAACTGGATCCATGGCTGTAGAAGGGTCCACAAATGTTGCTCTCTTCAAATTCCCTTTATTAATTTTTTCGAGTCCAAATGTTTTTCTAATCTTAATTTGATAATGAATAAAGTGATTGGTCTCTCACTCGAATTTGTCTTTCCCCGTGATGAACTTTTATTGATTTTTCTTATTTACAGTGTTCTTTTTCTCTTTCTTTTGACTTATTATTTGGTATCATAAAAGTAAAGGAAAAACGATTTTCTCATAGTTTTTGGTGTCATACTTCTTTTATTTATTTTTGAGGCAAAGTTCCATTTGTGTTTACGCACAACGCGTTGCCATCTTGGTAATTTTTTATATCCATCACTGTGATTGAACTTGAAATACGGAGTATTTTTCTAGGGCTTTTGTGCTCTTCGAGGGGCTAAAGCTGAAGATTGATTTCTTCTGTTAATACTACATCTGCCCAAATGAACTCTTTTGGATATCATCGAGTTTTTTTTAGACTATGAGGATGACAAAAAGTGGTACTTGTGTGCATGAAAAGTGATACCTATGTGACTAAAAGTTGTACATTTTAACAAATGAACAGTATTTTTTCATATCCACTTCTGTATTTTGGTCAACTATACTTTTTCGAAACTAGACTTTAATTCCATCAAATGATCAATATGGGTCATTAACACCATTTATATGTAATAATTCCTAAAATGTTTCGCTCGGCTTTCAAAGAGACTGCAAACTTGTGAGGCATAACAAATTGGCCCAATCTCTTTAATAGATGATCCAATTAACACTAGAGATAGCAATTTGCCCCGCGGGGACGAGTACACGCCCCACTCTGCCCCGTTTATAACGGTTTTAGGAAACCATTTACCTTATTTGAGTAATAATGGTTTTTATTAATGAAAACCCACCCGCCCCATTTAGGTAGATAAATTATTAAATTATTTTTATTTTATTAGTATATTTAGTTTGGTTCTAGAAACCCTTGGTCACATTCACTCACTTTCTCAGCTGTTCTAGAGAGTGGCAGAACCCTACGAACTAAGAACGCTCATACATTTTAATTTTATTTTAAATTATTGATTACCCATTTTTTAATGAATTTTTTCAATAATTATATAATTGTATTTGAAGAAAAATAGTTTTAAAATGAGGAGAAATTCTGGAACTAAACGGGGCGGGGCGAGTACCCGTCGAGGTAAAAATGTTAAACGGGGCGAGGATGAGGTGGAAAGTCCACCCGTTTAAGCAGTTTTGGGCGTGGGCGGGAACAGGACAGGGGTTTCTAAACGGTTATGGGGGCGGGGGAGGGTACACCCGCCCAAAACCGCCTCCATTGCTATCCCTAGTTAACACAAACCATTGTGGTCCATATCATTCCACTCGAACAACCCGTTTTTATTTCATGCTATAAATTGAATCACTCCGGCCTAATTAATTTCTTCTGAAGTAGGGCCATAAATGAAAAAAAAAATAGTTTTAACTCACACATAGCATGAATCTGAGCCTGAGTGCGAAAACAACAAAATTAAGTTATACAGAGTGGGAGTGGGAGTGGGAGTGAAAGTAGAGGCGAGAGCGGAAGTAGGAGTAAGAGCGCAGAGCGGGAAAACACGTATGGAGGGTGAAAATGAAAGCCCATGCTAAATGTGAGAGTAACACACATTTAGAATAATTGTGTGACTTACCGAGAATAGTTGGTCCCTTATCTGATTTCCTTTTGATCACTAACAAGTAACAAAGCATTATGATAAAACCTATTACAAGTTAGCAATGTCCTGACATATTAAATGGAAATCAAAGGGACCATTAGGGTGAAGTAGTAATTTCAATTATATCCAATCTGCCAAAAATATTTCAGTTCGTTACTCAACGTTGCTCTTGGACTAAATAAATATGCATTCTCATGTTCATCCATCCAAACTTTGACAAGTGATTCAGAAATTAGACTTAAGATCACATTGGAGTAGGACATTGTTGGAATATGTTTCACACACACACACACACACACATATATATGTATATTTAAATTTAATCATCTTGATTCATCTTTCTTGAGCAATCAAATTTTAAATGTATTCACATGTATGTACATGTATTGAATTATTCATGTACCAATAAAAGAGATGTTTGAATTCACTTACATAAATAATAGTCTTACTATTTGATTCACCTCAAATTGGATGAACTATTTTAAGCCTACTCATCAAAATTTATGAGATACAGTTGATATGAATGAATTTTTTTCAAATTCACTATCTTAGAATATGATATTTATTTAGGGGTGCACATTTAAATTTTGACATGTGGATTTAAGAACCAATCCGATCAGTGTCGTTGGGATCGATTTGCATGGTCTAAATAAATTATATATATATATTGGATATTTATCTTAGTAGTGTTACTATGACGACTCTTCTATTTTTTTACAATTTCTAGAGACAATATCATTTTGATCTCTTTTTAGATTTATCTACTATCCGTACATGTAATGCAACGGACAGATCCATTAATAATATTTCAGAACTGGCTTTGTTTAAACTTTGTGAATTCAAAGTTGATTTATTATTCCTTCGCAAAATCTGTTAGAAAATATTGTAGAATATATTATTACGCCACGCCATGTGTCAGGCCACGTCAGCATCACCGCATCAGATCTAAGCCGGGCCATGAGTCAGGCCACGCCATCCTGCCACGTCAACACCACCACGTTATTCTACCACGTCATCAGTTGCCCAATTAGCCTCCAAGACACATCAACAGTTGTGTCAGCAGTAGTGCGTCACCTGCCACGTCAGTTGCCATATCAGAGACAATCAGCAACGATGCCAGCAGTAGTGCCACATCAGTTGCCGTGTTAGACACAGTCAGCAGCGATGACAACAATAGTGTCACGTCAGTTGTTAATCGTGCCTCCATCTTCATCATGGGTGAAAACCCATATTCGCCAAATCATTTCCGTCATGCCGCTTTCAAGATCTCATTTCCAAACTCAAGATGGTTTCATTCAATCTACCTTGATTTGGAAGGGAGCTGTTATAGTATCTTGTAAAATATATTATTCCTATATTGTATAATTTATTCTGACCTTATATAGGATTACCATATATAGGATTCTAACATTATTTAGGATTACCATATATATAGTTACCATATACATATAGGGTTTACTTATTTATCACATATAACCTATATAAACCCCTCTTGTATACATCTCATACACATCAATATACAATACCAAGTTCTCTCTTTTGTATTTAATAACATATATCCTTTATGAAATCAAAGAGGAATTGGATGTGTTCAGTCAAATTATCAAACTTGTACGTGTACACACACACACACACATAGCTTGGTACACAATTCGTCGCTCTATCTAATAATTTGGTAGGGTTCTAACACGTATTCCCACCATAACCAAAGAAAATACAACACTATATCATAAATGTACAAGTTAGATTACAAGGTCATGTCACACCATATCAAGTAATACGTTTTTCCTAATCAAACTACAAGCCAATATCATAAATCAAACCCCTATATCACAACACAAAGTATATTATGGTACATTGCAACAAAATTACAACAAATAACTGAAACACATGGTAACACAGAAAGAGAAACACAATAATCAATGATAACACAGTCAAATAATTGCAACCATATTTTGTGACTACAATGTAATGCCATGGATCACACATATATTGGGATGATCACCATATATATGATGAAATGAGGATGTATTACCATCACATAGTGACAAACACATCTAATTAAACCTCTGACACCATGTAAAATGATTTAAATGTCATT